TGAGAGAGAGAGAGGGAGAGAGAGAGAGAGGGGGGGGGAGGGGAGGGAGGACGAGCGTGAGAGAGACAAATAGGATAGATAGACAGATATATGGATAGATAGAAATATGGATAGACAGATACATAGATAGATGGATAAATAGAGGAAGGGAGAGAGAGAGAGAGAGAGAGAGAGAGAGAGAGAGAGAGAGAGAGAGAGAGAGAGAGAGAGGGAGAGAGAGGCATTTGGTCTGCACAAGAAGGCGGAAAACGCCAAGGGTAAACAGACTTGTTGAAGGTCAATGCATTAGCCACTTGGGGTTGTGTCATGTCCACGCGTACTCATATCATTCCCTTAATGACAAGTATCAACTTGATGAGCCCTTTGACCTATTTCTTCTCATGCGACCATGCCAAAAGGATATTCGGTCATACAGAGAGGCAGAGAGAGGGACGGAGAGAAAGAGACGCTTAGTCTCGGTGGCCCCCGGCAGTTGATCATTCTCAAGTTAGCCACTAATTTCACCGACGGTGTTACAAGCTTGTGGGGAGAGCTTATCCCACACCTGTCATTCCATTCCACGGCCAATCTTCCTTCCTCATATTTATCCTCGGAAGGCCTTTCACGGGCTTGCCAAAGAAAGAAGAAAATGGGAGAAAGGAAAACCCTCATATAAAAGACGAACGTACATCTTGCTCATCTATATCCTCGGAAGCCCTTCCACGTAGTCACAGTCCTTCAGCAGATTCCTAATCTAACTGTAACATCCTGAGTGTTATGATCATTTGAATAGTTTGTATGAATATAAAAAACAGAAAGCCATGTCATTTATTGCATGGGCATGTACAACTTTGCGTTAGTCGTAAGTTTGCTATTTGATCCTTGATCGAGAAGTTTAATGTAACACAAGAGCCTATTACAATACAGAATTAGGGTTAATGAATATATTACCGGAGTAAATGCGCTCCATTTATATTGTTCAAGCAGAGAATTCTGAATAAAAATAAATATATGAAATTCTCTTGAGTGAACAAAGGGGTCTACGTTGCAGTCACGTTGCAGTCAACGAGCTTGAGCTGTGAAAGATATAACGCTGCATGTGAAGGCATTCGCTAGAGCAACCTTGTGTTATAAACATAGTAAAAATATACTTTATCAATTGAATTTTGAATAAGGCGGTTGGATAGTATTTCTAGATAGATGTAAACGGTGATATTATCATAAGTGAAGACAATTGCCTTAGAGAAATACAGGAGAGAGAATAAAGAGGTGATGTTCAGAGAGAGAGATGACGGGAGAGATTGGGTGGCAGAGGTCAAATGTGGAATGACAGAGTTCGTATACGTCGCTTTCGTGCTTTGACTCTGCTTCGTCTGTTATGTCTCTGCCTTTCTCTATCTCCTTCTTTCTCCAGTACTACCCAGACAGAGAAAGTAAGAGAGAGAGGGGGGGCAGGGGAGGCAGGTACAGGTGTCCGACGCACGCGCGCGTGCTACGTGGGCCCTCGGTTGACGGTGCGTCGGCTTCTGGTCTTAAGCATGATGTCACCCGCCCCCACACGCCGCCGCGTTCTTTCCCTATTTAACTCATGTGAGTGCGTTGCGATTATAATATTCTAAAGAATACATTAAAATAAGAGATCCTGGTAGTGGGAGAAGGAATGAGAAGAGTAGAATTGCCCGAAATGCCCTATTTTTTGGTGCTTTTAAAATAATACCGTTTCTAAAACTGATATAAAAGCATGCCCTTACAATCGGACGAATTCCCTCAATGTGGTCCTGAAGAAAGATCCACCCAGGGATCCGGTTAATTAAATGACAATAGGGGGCGGATAGATACATAGAGAGAGAGAGAGAGAGAGAGATTCGTCAAGAGTAGTTCGTTTCTACTTCATTAACGAGGTAGTAGTTGTACATTAGGGAAACCATAGAAAGTTGTTTCGTAAATTTGGCAATTCTTGTTAAATGGACAAGCAAAGTATGCTACTTTTCCCTAGATTATGGTTAACAGATATTAACAACTCTCTTTTTATCTCAACCTCTTCTTTATTTATCATCTAAAGTAATCTGATAATAGAGGCCAAAGAATTTGGGCAAGTAGGCTCTAAAGAAGTGAGGATTATGTAAATATCTATTTAAATCTTTAGTTGTTATGATAATCTAACGTATGTACATGGGCCCTTGATTAATTAGTGAAAGCTTTATTAAATGAATTTCATATTAGCAAATGTTCAAGTTCAACTAGAAGGCCGGTTAAGCCATTGTGGAATCAATTATCAGCCCAAAGTTTAAATACTTTGATTTTTTAAAACATCATCGCAAGGTAATTTTAAAATGTATTAATGAATTATATTATTGATACACATTTGAGTACTGTAATAATGAACAGTTTTTTTACTCAAACCAAAGGTGAGGCCTAATTAGGGGCAATTTAGGTGCACCCTCAAGCTTGCTCAAACCAAATAGAGTTTTAATAACTGAGAGAATGAAAAAAGTTCAGAGATATTATTGATTCAGATTCAGATTAGCTACCCTTGACTTGATACAGAACGATTAAGATCATCCCTAAAGGAGCAGCTGGTTTTCATAGTGGCATTCTTGTTTTTAATAGAAATACGGGGTGCACTTTGGTCATTAGCCCGCCAGCACACGACCTTTCCTCTGTTCAGCAGGGACAGCAAGATTCCAATTTTTCTTTCTTGCGGAATCGACATCAGAAGGCAGCATTTTCTCCGGTATTTAAGATGACGATGCATCGCCTGCTCCTTCCTCTCTCTCTCTCTCTCTCTCTCTCTCTCTCTCTCTCTCTCTCCCTCTCTCTTTCTGTGACCCACCATCTTCCATCGGAAGACAGCCTCAGCCTATGGCTTTAGGAATGGTCAACCGTCTGATCACTAGACCTCGTAATTAATCTGTCTTCTTTTCTTGTTATATCCAGTTAACGAGTGACGCAGCTTTACATCGGGAATTCTCATCGAACATCAGAAACAGCTTGTCCCAGATTTACGCTGGCAATGGAGAGTCATTCGCAGAACTATTTCGAAAAATATCAGAATTTGTCCAGGAATTTAACCAGAGCATGGATTTCCCTTAGGGATTCATAACGTCAAGAAGAACGCAGGAGGCTTGACTCGAGTCAACCTTCCGGTAGCTAGTCAACGGAGAGGGTGAGACCTTAGAGAGAGAGAGAAAGAGAGAGAGAGAGAGGTGGATGTCGTCGTCTCCCATGTGTGGAAAGCAGGAGAGAAAATAATAAGGGAAACTACGGCTTTTCTTAAAGTGGATAGAAGAATATTTGAGAGAATGTCCTGAAAACCAAGGGGAAGGGAAAGTTGATAAGCGGTCAAATCGTTCTCGGTTGCCTGAGATATGTCAAAGGCGGCAGCCAAGGAAACCCGTCTGGTCTAACCCTCCCGTTTTCCGTACACGCGCATCGTCTTTATATACAGGCAAATAAAAGGGTGCTAATCCTTTACATCCTCCCCGCGCAACCGCAGCTCAGAGAGAGACGGAGAGAGTTTCTTCACGGTCAAGAAGAGAGGGAACTAGAAGAAGTACAGGCAAGGGAAGAGGGAGAGGATTTCTTCCGGGTCGGGTAAAGAGAAGGAGAAAGCTGAAGGGGTGTAAGGGCGAGTTTCTTCACGATCAAGTATAGGAGAGGGAGAAGGACAACGGTTGTACGGGATAGAGAGGAAGTGAGATAGTACCTTGGGGATCGACTAGAAAGAGGAAACAAGGACGAGGTGAGTGAGAGAGAGAGAGAGATAGAGGGAGAGAGGGAGAGAAAGAGAGAGATAGAGGGAGAGAGGGGGAGAGAGAGAGATAGAGGGAGAGAGGGAGAGAGGGAAAGAGAGAGAGAGAGAGAGAGAGAGAGAGAGAGAGAGAGAGATTCTGTCTATCTGAAAGACGGAAGGGAAGGGGGGAACCGTCAGGCGGATCCTTTCTCCAACTTGCGATGGCCGAGGAATTCCAGACCGGCGTTTGCAGTGGGAGCTGGTGGAACACATCAAGAAGCGGGTTAGATGGGTCGACGGGGGCCGCCGCGAGGGCGTCTTGCTCGGCGGGGGTCACAGATGTCGGCGTCGCCTTCGGTTGGACGCCTGAGGCGATGGAGGCCCACGCTCGCTCCTGCGAGGAGGCCGTGGCCACCGCATCCGGCGGCTGCTCAGTTACCGTTCAAGATGCACCAAGGGTGCAGATCACCGATCCGATGGTCACCGGCGGCTTCCTGATGGGAACAACGCCCCTCATGTCGGACTTCAGCCTCTCCTCCCCAACGGCGGATTGGAGCCAAGCACTTCTGTCAGTTCTCACTTTCCCCTTATTAAACCTCTCCGATTTCAAACTTGTAGAAATTCATCTGCACAGATTCAACTAGCAACGAAATATACATCTTACACACGATATGCATGGTCTCTTCATTAGAGGAGTCTCACATCAGTTTTCATTAAGCTTTGAATTTGATGATAAAATTCTCCCCCACTCTCCTAGGTCTAACCGATACCGTCTGGTTGTAGGAGGAGCAGTGGGAGAGCTGATGGCGGATTCCATCCTATTCTCCCGGACGATCTGATATCAAAACCCTATTATCGTCCGGAGATGGGGACGGACTCCGTGAGCCAAGGATTTATGATGGGTCAGGCGCACTTGAACCCCATCGGCGACGCAGGCGGCTGTGTTGCTGACAGCTTCCCCATCGGCCCGGCGCCGATGCTGTGCCCTTCGGCACTTCTGCAGGGCCTAGATGGAAAGACCCAACGCCCATCTTACTGCGACCGGTCCACAAACTTCGTCACGTCTCCTGTGAGCTATCGGTTGAGCTCTCAAGATTCCTCGCAGGCTGCCTGGCCTCGGTTCCCTCAGATGCACTTCAACAACATGCCCTTCTATCCTCCTCCGCAGCTTCAGTTTGAGGAGAAACCTAACACCATCACGACGAAGGTAGGGTTTGCAGCGCTTCCCTCGAAGAAAAACGAGATGATGATGGAGTTCTTCTCATTATCTGATGATTAAAAGTTTTTCATGGAATTTTTCTATTATTACTCAATCCAGTCTAGTTCGGAGGGAGCACGAGAATCGAGCTTGGGTGCGAAGAAAAGTGGGGGCGAGCCTGCGTCCTTCAAAAAGCCTCGAATGGAGACGCCGTCATCATTGCCAACCTTCAAGGTAAGGTTTTAGTTCAAAGTGGGAAGCTTTAATCGATGGGAGTTCTCTAATGGGGATTTGGTGAGATCTTTCTGCTCCTTGGTTTTCCGTCCCGCAGGTGAGGAAAGAGAAACTTGGGGACCGGATCACTGCTCTTCAGCAGCTAGTATCGCCGTTCGGAAAGGTGAACTTTCGGATCATATCTCCCAGTAGATTGTTTTCATGTGCGTACCGTATCACGTGTGATGGTGTACTTCGTTTGTTCTCTTTTTCTCTAACCAATCACTCTCTCTCTCTATCCATCTGTTTTTTCATCTATGTATCTCTTCAGACTGATACGGCATCTGTTCTCTACGAGGCCATCGACTATATCAAGTTTCTCCATGAGCAAGTCGGTGTATGTCTCTCTCTCTCCCTCGCTCTGTGCATATATATTCTTTTCTACCCCCTCTCTCCCTCTCTCTCTCTCTCTCTCTCTCTCTCTCTCTCTCTCTCTCTCCCGCCCACTCTGACAAAAAAGAAAGTTATCGACATTTGTGAGCTCGATTCTTCAGAATCCAGGTTCTTTGTATACCAGTCTGTCTCTCTCTCCTACGGGCTGCAACAAAAGTAAAAACTTGATGAATTTATAAGCTTATTCTCTTTGAATCCAGGTGCTTACCGCTCCATACCTGGAGAATGTACCACCCATGCAGCAACAGCGGGTAAGACCAGATTCTTCGTTTCTCCTAAGACTCTCTTCTCTCTGTGTGAACTCTTGAACGACGTATACTATATGAGCTCTTCTCACGGAACAAACTTACTTGCCCGTTGACGCAGAATTCCGAAAAACAGAAGGACGCTGATACCCCGAAACGAGACCTAAGAAGCCGGGGCCTATGCCTCGTTCCTATATCGAGCAGTTTGGCAGTTGCAAACGAGCCCATGGCCGACTTCTGGACTCCCACCTTCGGAGGAACTTACAGGTAGACCATTGCCCATCCCTCGAAGGGTGGGCGATCGAATCTCCCATGGATTACTTCATCTTCAAGCGGAACTCATGGACGTCGGTATATTAAACAACGAAGACAGCCAGACATTGTGGGGGAAAATCGAACATTTTTATGCGATATTAGTTTCTTATGAAGCAAAGCGAAGGAGAGAAAGAGAACGGAGAAACAAGAATGAAAAGGAGGCGAACACCCAGACGTCAGAGCACAGCTATCAGAATTCTGGTCTAGTTGAGAGAGAGAGAGAGAGACAGACAGACAGGAGAGAGAGTATTATGGTATTAAGGTGGGTTCAGGAAAACAGGAACAGGTGCTAAATTTGGCAGAGCGTTAGGAATGGATGTCAAATGGATTAAGGGGATAGGAAGGGTTGATGGTTGCCGAATTTAGCAGAAAGAACAACGACTAAAGAAGAGGAGCGTAAAGGGAGGAGTTTCTGTTCCTGTTTGATGCGTGTTTAAGTGCCTGGCGACACCTTTTGCTAGAGATAAATAAAATAATTAGGAATGATATGAATTCCGGGAGTGGAATGTGCTTGAGGAGGTCCCGGCCCTTCTTTCTTTTGGAGATAACCTTTCCATTTATTCTTATATGCTGTGAAGGGGATAGTGGAAGCGAGGAGGTTGCCCTGGAAACCTCTCTCTCTCTCTCTCTATCTCTCTCTAAATATATATATATATATATGTATATTGTATACCTATCGGTCTTCCAACTCTCTATTATGTGTGCGTGTGGCCCTGTTTGATTACCATAATAATTACTGGAAGGGACAAACGGGGAACTCCTATGCTTTCCGTCAAGTCAACACGTTGGCATTCATTCATTCATTCATTCTTTGTTCATCTCTCTACAGATCTCTCTATCTCTGTGCGTGTGTCGGTCAACACCGTCCTCCAGCGCCAGTATGACGCTGCCAAAAAGTGATGCAAACATAAGTTCCCAGTTGGCCCCGCGATTTTACTTCCAGAAAGGTAGCACTAGAATAATTTTCAATTCGCCAGCTCTATGAGTAACTAGTATAGTTGTAGCCATCTGCTTCGATTGAGGCTTCTCCGAGAGGGAGAGAGAGAGAGGGATGGAGGGAATATGGAGTTTTTTCCGGCATTCTAAGTTTCAATAGTACTAACCTCACAGAAGACGGCAATGAATGCCCTACGTTACATATATTACCACGAGACGGGCTTAAATTATCACTGATGCCAGCGATTAAAGGGAAAGACGGCAATGAGTTTGTTGTGGAGCCCGCAGCCATGAACGATCATGCTGAGGCTATCTTCCCCAGTTTGCACAGAATCAATAAATGAAGGACTGCATTGCTTACTCCGTCTGATCGCTAAGAAATCAAAAGGAAGAGTTTTGTTAATTAATGCAGCCCAATGTTGAAGGTTGGATCTCCCCCAGAGAAAGACCAATTTGCTTCAAATTAGATGATCCCAGGTTTCGGCTTCGTCACCACTTTGAATAGAATTAGGATTGACTAATTTAGATGATGGGTGATTTATTGACTTGAAGAAAGAAAGAAAAAATATGTGACAAGACAGAACTTATGGAATTTGTCTCCCAACTTAGTAGAATTACTCAAATTTGAAGTACCCAGATGTAATCTCCATACAGACTTTCATCACCCTCATGAGATTTCTCTCTACTTTCTCTCTAACCTAGAGACTCTTTCTAACCTCTAGGAGAATCCTACATGAACACTCTTCAATGACCTTGAAGCAGCACATTTCTCTCACCTCCTCTTACCATATCTACTTATACGAAGTTATCAAGCCTTCAGGCTTCTTCAGGGACCACTAATATTAGGATGTGCTTTTTATTCATTCATTGTTTTTAGGTCCCAGTCATAGGATAAGAGCCATGGTAATTCAACGGCAAGAACGATATCAATAATCAAAGCAGTATGTTGTCATCACAAAGCAGTTTCAAGGTGATTATTGCCGTTTCAACGGCAAGACCCCCTCTGAGAGGATCACGTGAAAATACCTTGATGTTGTCATCACAAAGCAGCCAATGTATATCTCATACCATTGTTATTCATATCTATGTCTCTCTTACTTACTATCTCGTACTATAGAAATCAGCAATGTCTAGGATGATAATCCACTTATTAGCAAAAACCATGGGAAATTATACCACTCAAGAAGATGATTTCAAGTTTATGGATAACATTATTATTATCATCACATTTATTGGTATATATCGAGTGCTTATTGCTGATAGCCACAAAGCCTCATCGTTGCTCCAACAAGATGAACTCATAATGAAAATATTTATTGGACCACCCTCCATCATAATAGTTTGCCTTTTTTGGATCCAAAATAGTTTATCTGGCTTCAATGAACATGTATGTTCCTTATAAGTTTATATCTTGTAATTTTCTCGATTTAAAAACCATCATCTAATTAGAAAAATGAAGAAATTATTTCTTTTTGGCTTCTTGACTAACTCAGGTGCTCTTGATTGGTGAGATGACTGATAGCATATGAACTATTTTCGGGGAAAAGGGGCTTTAATTAACTGTAGGATCTATGAAAGCCCACGAAATATCATGATAAAATAAACTTTTTCTCCCAAATAAACGTTTTTCTTTGGGTTTTGTGGACGGTTAGTAATGTTATTGGGCTCAAAAAGGAAAAATGACAAAGAATCGACTTCCTTTGCGGCCCGACCCCCCCTACGATCTCTAATGGGCCTACCGGACACGTAGGGGTCCAAACCGAGCCCCTACGTCTCCCTCTTTCGCTAAAAGCCTACGCGGAAAGGATTCGGTATCAGCCCAGGAGACCAGCCCATTATCAAAATTAGCCCATAACTGAAATTGGGTCCAGCCCAATAAGTGCATGGATGGGTCGGGTTCGTAGACTCCGAATATCTGATCTCATGGGGTGGCCGGCCCAGCACTCGCCTTCGTTTAAGTTAATCGATCCCAAAGTGGGTCCATTACTGGGCCAAGAGTCGAGATAGCCCATTAAGTGCAATGAACGATTGGGTGGGAGTCGCGGGCTGAGGAGATACTTCAAAGTCAACCGCTTTGGCTATGCGTCTGAGGCCCACTTATAAAATGAGGCGGTCTGCATTGTTTCCGTGCCCAGGCCACACTGGGCCAGGGAGAAAAGCCCGAGATGAGCTCCGGCCGAACCACATTTCACCCCTCCATATAGGCCTCCCCTGGCCCATTTGTCTACCCATCCCTCGGCAGTGAGAGAAAGGAGAGAGAGATAGAGATGGGGAGAGAAGTGATCCAGATAGAGAGAGAGAGAGAGAGAGAGAGAGAGTGAGAGAGGAGATAAAGATGGATAGATACATATATATATATAGAGAGAGAGAGAGAATAGACAGACAGAGAGTCAGAGAGAGACAGAAGAGATGGATATAGATAAATAGATGGATAGAGAGATAGAGAGATAGATAGAGAGGGAGAGAGAGAAAGAGAGAGAGAGAGAGAGAGAGAAATCAAGACGACCAGAGTTTACCTTCCAGAACCTTGTATATAACCCAGAACAAGCCGGTCATATGTAGCGAAACCCACAACGAGAGAGAGAGAGAGAGCAAATCAACAGCACCGATACTCGAAAAAAAGAAGAGAAACAACGATTGTAAGTGAGAACTAAGATAATCTGCAGAATGCGCAGATCATATTCCATAGTGGGTGGCGGCGGGTGCCTGTTGTTGAACGAGTGGGAGTGGCGGTGGCAGTGGCAGAAGGGGGGGGGGATCAGGCGGCTGCCTTGAGCTTCTTGGCGATGGTGGCAAGGTACTTGCCCTGGTGGAAGGCCTGGGCGAGCTCCAGCTCGGTGGGAACCCTGGAGCCGTCTCCGGCAAAGGTGCCGGCGCCATACGGGCTGCCACCCTTTACCTGCTCCATCTCGAACATCCCCGCCCCAAACGTGTATCCGATCGGCACAAAGATCATCCCGTGGTGCGCCAGCTGCGTGATTGCCGTCAACCTGCCAGATCAAGAGCAGAACCCAGGTGGTCAACGCAAATCCCGCCGACGATCGGAGTTGACCGGCGGAGGAAGGAGGGAGGGAAGGGGGAATTACGGAGTGGTCTCCTGGCCGCCGCCCTGAGAGCCAGTGCTGTAGAAGATCCCCGCTGGCTTGCCTGCCAGCTGCTGAGTCCTCCAAAGGCCGCCTGTTGAGTCAAGGAAGGCCTTGAATTGTGCAGCCATCATGCCGAACCTGGTGGGGAAGCCGAAGATGAGCCCATCTGCCTCTGCGAGCTCGCTCGGCGTGATCTCTGGCACGTCGCTCTTTGGCGGTGCCCCCATCTTGCCCAGCACCTCCGCCGGCAGGGTCTCCGGGACCTGTTGAATTCAGCAATGGGATCTCACAATTCTCCTCCATGGATCACATTTAGATAGAGTGATGACTGAACCCCCGAATCTACGGGAGCAGTGGATTGAACCCACGAAAATGGCGAGTGATGCAGGAAAAATTGGAGGAGATGAGAGGAGGCAGACCTGCCACAGCTTGGCTTCAACTCCTTCAATGGAGGCGGCGCCCTTCTTTATCTCCTCAGCAAGCTTCTCCACATGCCCGTACATGGAGTAGTACCTGAAGAGGGGAGTAATGACATCAGAAGAGGTCTGAAATGCATAACTGAGAGTGTGAGACCGAAAAATCTGTTATAGCTACTACCGCCCATGTATTTGACGTCATTGTACAGATCATGAGAGAAAATTCGGAAGAAAGAGGCGGAAAAGAAGCGATCTATTCCCGTAGATAGCAGATACAGTCCTCAGAGAGTGAAGATTTTGCGATCGACGGGCAATCCATCTGCTAAATGATGGTGCATTAAATTGGGCTCAAGATTGTCAGAACTCCAGGTCAAAATCTTGATGTGGGCAAAGTAAAGGGTATTGTGTCTCTAAAAAACGACAGGATGGTGATTGGCCAAACTGATACATCCAACATCGAAAATTCTAAAGTCAGGAAACCAGATCTTTCATCGGACAATCGTCTGGTCAATCTTCCTGATGGAAGACGCTGTTTTCAGTTTGTCAGAACAATGGAAGTTGGTGAGCAATATTTTCCATCGACCCAGCACAAATGTGAGACGGGATATCATGACAAAGAAAATCCATATCTACCACCATGTGTGCCAGGTTCATCCACAGCAGTAGACGGGATACAGAAAAGCAAAACAAGATCAAGCATATCATTATAGGATGTAATTCTGAGGAAAATATTAGTTCCTCCAATGTCTACCAGTGTTTTCCCCAAAAGGTCTTCTATATAACACATTATGGGTTTTGTCACACGGATCATGTAGGGTATCGATTGAATTTTATGTTAGTTTTGCACATTGTTAATTGGCAACTCGCCATCCCCACAACGATTTCATGCCTTTTGACTTCTCATATTCTCACAAAAGGGATGCAATTATCAATGGGGAAACATATCATCATATGACTAGCCAGTAAGAGGACCTTCCCCCCAAGCCCATCTCTTTAATTTAAAAGCAAAGGAATTTATATAAATATTCATTGAATTTTTAGTTAATAATAAAACAAGCACGAATAAAAAAGCAAAGGTGAGGAAATTGAAGACTATATAAAATTCAGTGACCAAATACTTTGACAGCAGGCCAGGAAAGATATGTATAATGTTCAGAAAGCCTGTTCAGCCTCATTTTCACACGATCCCCGTTTAGTAAAACACACGCATTTTGCTAAGGCTTCACGCTTACATAAAGGAATACCACTTCAGAGACTAATAATTGATTCATAAAGTGGAAGATCCATCACCGAAAGAACAATCCAGAACAAAAATCCGCGGAAGACGAATTCAATACTCGATAGAATAGGACGACTCATCCGATCGAGAGAAGCCGAACGAGACAACCCTCTTACGCCAAAAAGGGCAGAAACGGTCAAGATCGCCATACGCTCGGACCAAAATTTTAAGGGGGAAAGATTAAAAAGGACGACCTACAGCAGATCACAAATTCGCCCAAAGGACGGAAAACGAGGCACAAGCAAATCAATAAGAGGAATGAGGCCTCCACAAACTCCTTCCAATCGACGATGACTATCATGTACAAGATACAAACGAAAGGGAACTTCGAATACTTCAAATCGAGGTCTCGCGCTTGCACACTAACGATTACAACGAGAACAGACAGAGAAAGCTGAAATAGAGGCGGCGAATACATACACGATGTAGACCTTCGTCGTCATTGCCGAACCCTGCAGCTCCTCTACCACAGATCAGAAGATCTCCTCGCGTATCAGCGAGAGACGAGGGAATCGGGGAGGGGAAGGCTGGCCGAGAAGACCTGAATGAAGGAGGCTGACGCTGTTAGAGGTCAATGCCCCGCGCCTCCTATTTATAATCCGCCAGCACGTTCATCCGTTAAATCCCGATTTTCTAGACGCTTCCCCTGATCTCATCTAATCAGCTCACACCTCCCCTAAATCTCGTCCGTCAGACCGGTGTGCCCGAATTATTTTGTATATGCGGGAAGTAAGGTGTTGTTTCCGAAAGTCGCAACCTTGAGGCTGTCGCAATGATCCGACGACACGGGTGACGTCTTTATATGACGTGGACCAATGAGAAAGTCATTTGGCAGAACCACCGGGAGGACATCTAGAACGAAAGGGCCCCACATTGCCAGCAACATAACAACGATAGCCCGGCCGCGGAGTCCACGTGGCTTGCTTCGCCTCGTCACCCGTCATGCTCGCGTTATCATGAGGTCTATAAGATCTCCACCGTTCGTTTCATCAGGTCAATGAAGAGAACAATCTGCTCTCTCTCTCTCTCTCTCTCTCTCTCTCTCTCTCCCCCACTCATACGTGGGCTTGGAACTAGTTGGGCCAAATGGGGCACACGGATGTTAACGGGCCGAGCCCAGTGGAATGTCAGACGAGGCCCTGAATATGTCGGCCCATTAAAGACTTTCAGTCCAATCTACCCAGTGGGCCATAGTAAGTGAGAAAAGGCTCACATCGCGCGAGATCGGTGTGGAGTTTTCGATCGAACGGTAGAGCTTCCCCCACGCGGACGGAATCACGCGGTACGTTGTACGCGCGGTCCTCAAGTCAGAACAAAAACACCTGCGTCCCGCGTGACGTCATCATCCCGTAGGGAGAGAACCGCGGAGGAATAAAATAAGAGAAATGGACACCTCAGCGGTCACACTCGCTGGACCTGGCGTCCCTCGGCGAGAGCACATGATTTGGCCACGAGTCGAAGGAACATTGATCAGACGAGCAGTGAAGACTAATTAATCTTCGACCGTAGATTCAAGATGCATTTGTGATCAAGCCCCGTAAAAGGTTCTCACTTTTTAATCAGTCCTCCTTAATTACAATAAACTCCCTACTTGGGAATTATGAGACTCTCCTGCCGTACTTATCCATAAATACTTAATTAGAGGGTAGAATTCGTTAATAGTGCGGAATTCTTGTACTTGCCGTTGACTTGCGTGCTCTTCGATGCGTTCCAGAGGTCGTGGGTCTTCCACGTCTGCTGGTCCCAAGGGCAGAGGAAGTACCGTACTCCTCGCACAGGTTACCGCGGCCGTTTAACAGCTGTAATCGATCGAGCGGGAAAGAACTCACCAGGAAGGTAAGCTGACCACCATCAATTGACCGTGTCAGGGCTTTAACGCAAGACCTATCCGGAGGAGGGGCATTTGGGGGAATTACCAGCATATTCCTCCTCCTCCCCCTTCTTCCTCCCTCAGAAAGAGGTGGTCTCAGAGGTCCCATCGAAGGCAGACCTCAGCTCCGTCTCTCTGGTTCCTCCAGGAGTGCAGTAAGAGAGAGAAAAAGAGAGAGAGAGAGAGAGAGAGAGAGAGAGAAGAGAGAGTGGATTGGGGTGGGAGATGGAGATGGATTATCCAGACGACTTCAGATGCCCAATCTCCCTGGAGGTGATGACGGATCCGGTGATACTGTCGTCGGGGCACACCTTCGACAGGGCTTCTATCCAGAGGTGGCTGGACTCCGGCAATCAGACCTGCCCCGTGACCAAGATGCTCCTTCCCCGGCAGCCATCGCTCATCCCCAACCACGCCCTCCGAAGCCTCATCTCCACCTTCGTCGGACCAACCGGGGGGACCAAGCATGTCAAGCAGAGCAATCGGCGAGGTTCCTCTCCGGCGGCCGATCCCGACGCCCTTCTCGCGTCCCTGACCTTCCCCGCCGATGCTCGGAGCCTGGATCGAGTCCGCGACCTGGCGAAAGAGAGTCCCTATTTCCGCGACCTGGTTTTGGAATCAGGGGCGGCGTCCTCGGTGGTCATCCGTCACGCTGGCTTCGCCGACTGGCCGGAGCTCCAGGAGACTGCTCTTATGATCGTTCTGGAGCTCAGCCTCCACGGAGATGACGCCAAGGTTGGCCTCGTCGCCGACGGCGTGGTGGATCGCCTGGTAACGGCTCTCCGGAATGGCACGCCTGGTTGTCAGGCCCTCGCCGCGACCACGCTCACAAGCCTGGCGATGCTTCAGGTGAACAAATGCACCATTGGAGCCCACCCTTCGGCGATTGCGGAGTTGGTTGAAGTACTGAGGAACGGAAAGGGGAGGGAGAGGCGGGAGGCGGCAACGGCGCTGTACGTTCTGTGCTCCTTCCCGGAGAATCGGCTGAGAGTTGTTCGTTCCGGGGCGGCTCCAGTGTTGGTGGAATTGGCGGGCTACGGCGTGGAGAGGGCAATCGAGGTCTTGGAGCTGCTAGGGAAGTACCGCGGAGGAAGAGAGGAGATGGAGAGGGTCGACGGGCTCGTTAGGGTTTTGGCGAGCGTCTTGCGGAAGGGGAGTGCAAGAGGCGTCGGAGACGCCCTGCTGTTGCTGAACTTGCTGTGCACCCACAGCACCAAGATGCGTTCCGAAACGATCGAAGAAGGGGTCCTGGATATCTGCCAGGGACTGGTGGAGGGGTCTGGCAAGATTGCGAAGAATGCCTGCATGCTGATGGACACACTGCAGGACAGGGCTTGGGACTAGAGTTTGTCTCATATGATGAGACCTTACCATGAAGAATATCAGATCCCTGTTTTGCGGCGGAGATCAGGGCGGGGGGCTTCAAGGTTTCTATCCTGTGTTCTTGAATCAGGTGAGAGGTGTAAAAATTGATGTCTTCTAGCTTAATCCTGTACAGAAAGGGGATACGTGGGTTCCTGTTTTCGGGTCTTCTGGGGGTCCTGCCTACATAGAGAACAACAGTGAGAAGTAAAATCACATCTTGATTGTACCTCTGTTTAAAATATGATCCGACGATGTTCCTCATCTCCTTGGGCTTCGTTATAGAATGTGGTACGATCTTCTCAACTCCATGTTCTACTTGACTTTTGCTCTTGTCTTTCTTTCAAATCTACAATGAGTTCGTTGGCTTTTTATCAATCACTATACGTTTCTTCAGACTTTATTCGCATGCATTTCTGAAAAGCATGAAACAACAAAGTGCCTGATATTCTCTTATACCAGGATCATCTGGTGCATGATCGTTGGAACAATAAGACAGACTGTGAGTAGAGAATCTAGACTAATCTGGAGTTCATTAAAAGGTTTCTAAGGTCTGTCACTTTCCTTCGTAGATTGGAAAGAAACATGCTGGGCCCATACAATCCATATCAGTTCATAACTGGATGATCTTTCGATCATAAATGATATTTGATTAGTTTGAATGGAATCAGATGGCTCGGGAATCAAAACTATTCAAAATCATACCGTTTCTGGTGTCTCTGGAGAATTGCCCACACGAGCAGCAGGGCCTTGCTCTTATTGCTTTATCATCAGAATTCTAAAGGTCCATCATGCAAGATAAGAATCTCTGGTGTTCTAACTCGGTAAACAATCGGTATTGGTGTGTGCACCTGTTTTATTTTCTTTCGACAGAGATTCAGAAGCTGAAGGTCGAACCATAATAAATTTATCGAATGTAATATAAGTTCATTTTCTTCATAATCTTGCATTATTAAATCTCATACGATCCGAGGGAGGTCTTCAGACTCCCCATCTGCTATGCTTGAACTGATCATGGAAGGGTTTGATCAGCTCCTGCAATGCTCCCCATTATTTAGATGAATTCTTCAATTAAAATGAAGGAGGTGATAGTATTGATTTTTCAATTAACGATGAAATATTACGCATATCTGCACTTAATCACGTGATTGAATTTATTGGTTTTCCGTTCATTTTCAGCTTCTTCATCAATCATTTCTTTTGATAGGTTTGTTGGGTGAGTATGATAATCGATATTCATTAAATGATGCGATGATTTTCCTGTTCAAGTGAGATCATGTCATTGGATCAGAACCATTCGGTCAACCCTGGGCTTGTTAGCGTTATTTTGACTGATAATCTGGTCAGCGTGCTATTGGTTCCTCTGGTGGTGACTGATATTGAGCCCAGACTGCCCGTTGGCAACCTTGATTGGAGTGTAAATCTTTCAGAACTATGCTCATTAATGAATTGATTTTATTGATGGGTTAGTTGAGATGTTCTTCGGGTTCTATGGTGGTTGTTGGGAAATGCAAAAAAAATTCTGAATAATTGGAGATTAATTTGATGTAAATCTACCAAATTACTCAGACATAATTTTGTTGTTAATGACTGTCAGTTAATAGTAGTGTAAAAGATGATAACATGAATATGATTTGCGCTAATCACCATCACATGCGTTGACCATCCTTCAGCAACCCGTACTCTGTCAGATTTGGTCAACGCCCTTGGTATAGGGCATCCGTACGCAAAGTCGAGGGATCAAACTGACGGAGTCATGGACGACGACACATGTGCTGGGCAACTAGTTTTCGGTCAACGAGTTGGTAGCTTCGGGGAAGATGGCTGAGGACGGCTTAGAGCCTCAGAGGGCCGGATCTGCACGGCCAAAAGAGTGCCGATCGAGACAGAGCTTTCACGGAGACTACTATTGTTAATAGCTAGAGGCAGAGGCTTTCAATCGAGATATTTCGACGATGGGAAGACGATACAGCTTCGCTCGATCCGTGGCGGCGCTCCTGCTCGTCGCCTTCGCCGCCATCGCCGGCGCGGTGAACACGCTCGAAGTGGGGAAGGCTCTGAAGGACAACGAGACGCTGATCTCCCCGGAAGGAACCTTCGCTCTGGGCTTCTTCACCGGTTCTCTGGATAGGCGCTACCTGGGGATCTGGTATCACCGGATTCCCGGGCAAACGGTGGTCTGGGTGGCGAACCGGCGGCGCCCGCTGCCGGGGGCCACCGGAGAGCTGACCCTCTCCGGCAACGGGACCCTCGTCCTGGCCGACGCGGCGGGGACCGTCTACTGGTCGTCTCCCGCCGTGGCGGCGCCGGCGACAGCGCCGGTGGCGCGCCTCCTGGAGAGGGGGAACCTGGTGGTGCTCGACGGCAGCGGCGAGAGCTACGCGTGGGAGAGCTTCTCCCAGCCCACCGACACTCTTCTCCCTGGCATGAAGATCGGGCTGAACACCGGCGGAGCGTTCAACCTCTCCCCGTGGAGAAGCGCCGACGACCCGGCTCCGGGGGACTTCTCCCTGGGAATCGCCGTCTCTCGAGGGGTCCCCCAGCTGGTGGTCACGAAGGGGTCAGCCACCGTCTGGCGGGGCGGCCCCTGGATCGGAGACCGCTTCTCAGGGATCCCCGCCATGAAGGCCAACAACCAGTTCAGCTACGGCTTCAAATGGGAGCCCGACGAGGTTTACTTCAGGCTCTACTTGTGGTACTCGTCGGATGCAACTAGAGTCACCATAAACCGGTCGGGGATCGCCGAGCACTTCCTCTGGACGGGGGAGAAGCCGCAGTGGGAGATGATATGGACGTCGGCGATCGACGCGTGCGACAGCTACAATGTCTGCGGGGCGAACGGCCTCTGCAACGTGAGGGAGTCGCCGCCGTGCAGCTGCCCGGAGGGGTTCACACCGAGGCAGCCGCCGGCGGGTGGCTGCGAGTTGAAGGAGCCTCTGCAGTGCCGGAGCGGGACCGACGGCTTCGTGGCGGTCGCCGGGGCCAAGCTGCCGGACACCTTCGCGGCCACCGTCGACAAGACCATCGGCTTCGACGAGTGCAAAGCCCACTGCTTGAGGAACTGCTCCTGCACGGCGTTCACCAGCAGCGACGGCACCGGGTGCATAACCTGGTTCGGTGATCTTGACGACGTCAGAGTCTACAACGCCACCGAGGGACAAGAGCTGTTCCTCCGAGTTGCGACGAGCCAAGGTAGGCCGCCTCCTCTTAACTCTCATCGACATCGCTCATTCAATAAGTCAAAGTAAACGACTTAGTCAAGTACCGAAGTAGAGATATATTTTCTTGTAGCCGCCAACGAGGACGAGGGCGCGCGCAACCAAGGTGAGGATGTGAACCCATCGTCAACCTTTCCGGGTTCCTCGAGCGTTCCTCGCGAACAAGCGCCGGCCCATGTTGACCAGCTCTGGAGGGTCGACATCCTCTGGGGTCAAACATATTGCGGGTTCCTCGGGGTAAAGTGGGATAAGCTCTAACTCTTCCAAACTCATGGGAGGACCCCTCTCCCGCTGGCGTCCTGCGGTCACCTTCTTCTTCCTCATCTCCTGCATATCCTGCAATCTCCTCTGCCTCGAAACCGCCGTCGTAGACAGCATCAGGCCCGGACAGTCCGTCAACGACACCCAAACCCTCGTCTCCGCCGAGCGCATCTTCGAGTTAGGGTTCTTCACCTCCGGCCCGACTGGAGGTCGGTACCTGGGGATATGGTACCACAAGATCCTCCCTAGGGTTGTTGTCTGGGTCGCCAACCGGCGGCAGCCGATGCCCGACAACTCCGGCGTGCTCATGCTGTCTCACGACGGGGCACTCATCCTCTCCGGTAACTCCTCCGCCGTCTTCTGGTCGGCGGAAACGAGAGGTAGCCCTAACCAGCCGGTCGCTCGGCTGCTGGACAACGGCAACTTCGTCATCGGCGGTGAGACCAGTGGCGGGGTGAACGCCGGCAGCTACTACTGGCAGAGCTTCGATCAGCCGGGGGACACGATGCTCCCCGGCATGCGCATCGGAATTGACCGCCGGAGCGGCCTCGTGCGCAACATCACCTCCTCCAAGTCCTTCGGCGATCCCAGCCCGGGAAACTTCACCTTCATCGTCGACCCCCGCGGTGTCCCGCAGCTGGCGGTGGCGGAGGGAGCGGAGCTCCGGTGGCGAGCGGGGCCGTGGGTCGGTGAGCGATTCGTGGGGATCCCGGAGATGAGGGCCAACGCGCTCTTCATCTACGGCTTCGTCTCCGACGCCAACGAGGTATACCTCAAGTTCGAGGACTGGAACAGGTCCTTACTCTCCAGGATAGTCATCAACGAGTCGGGAGTGGCTCAGCACTACGCCAGGAGCGAGGAGGGTGGCGTTGGTCGATGGAACCTGATCTGGCAGTCCCCCTTCGAAGCCTGCGATCGGATGGCGGCGTGTGGGGCCAACGCCGTCTGTGACCCCGCCATGTCGCCGAGCTGCAGATGTCTGGAGGGCTTCCGGCAGAAGGACGAGGGCGGCGCCGCCGCGGCCGCTGCCGCGGGGTGCATGAGGGAGGAGGCTTTGGATTGCCGGAGCGGGGCGGAGGAGCTGGTGAAGGTGAGCGGAGTCAAGTGGCCGGACACCTCGACGGCGCTCGTGAACCTCAGCGCGGGGCTCAACGACTGCCGGACGGCGTGCCTGAGGGACTGCAACTGCACCGCCATGGGTATTAGCGACCGCAGTGGCTGCGTAAGGTGGTCCGGCGACCTGGTCGACATCAGGGTGTTCGCCACTGGCGGCCAGGATCTGTACGTCAGAGCGGCGGTCCGCTCCCAAGGTCCGTTATGATGGCACCGACGTCGCAGCCTTTTGCCCGGTCAAACTTTGGAACTTCCCCCACTCTTCGGAGGAAGTCAACGCACTCGGATCCCCGTAGAACGTTGCCCCCGTCAGACGATAATTCCGTTCCGAAATTTTCCGTTTATTCGTGGATCTTTCGTCTGCAGCGTGTACCCGAAGAAAATATTTAATTGTGTTTTTACTCCCTCTCAGGTGATGAGCAGAGCATGAAGACGGTCATGGCAGCAACCATTGCGTGTCTGGCCGTGATCGTCGTACTCCTCGCGGCGTTGTGGTGGTTCCTCCGCAGGCGAGCAAGAAGATTGACTTTACCCGGTTAGCTCTCTCTCGCTCGCTCTCATGCTTTCTCTCTCGTAAAGTCAAAGCCTGAACCTCTCTCAAGGGGATATGATCGTATGGTTTTTAAAGGCCCGAAATTTGAGAGCACAGAACACTATTTTTGTCAAATGCTGGCCTCAATTTCAACCGTTCCCGTTCAAGTTCCTTTCTTTATATTTGAACTTTGGGAGGCTAAGATGACTCCAAAACGTTTAAAAAGGCTAAAATTCAGATCATCCTTTTCACCAAAATTCGGTCAGGCTTCAACACGCTATCAAGTTCACACGCTATACAGCAAACTTTTCCTGCTTATTTTAAACAACTATTTAAAAATAAATGGATTTATCTAAATTTTAGGTTGCTAGATCGTCCTTTTCACTAGTAAGGGAGCATTTAATTTATTTAGAGTTCATCAACTTTCGTGGCGATTATTATTAGTTGGTAATATTATATAATTTTGCAACACATACGATCAACTTCGTTTGATCACAATAGCATGCTATTTCGGGCTCTTTGCCTTCTTTGATCACAATATTCCTAGATCGTCCTTTTCACTATTAAGGAAACATTTAATTTATTTAGAGTTCATCAACTTTAGTGGCGATTATTATTAGTTGGTAATATTATATAATTTTGCAACACATACGATCAACTTCGTTTGATCACAATAGCATGCTATTTCGGGCTCTTTTCCTTCTTTGATCACAATATTCCTAGATCGTCCTTTTCACTATTAAGGAAACATTTAATTTATTTAGAATTCATCAACTTTAGTGACGATTATTATTAGTTAGTAATATTATATAATTTTGCAACACATACGATCAATTTCTTGTGGTCATAATATGCCGTCTAAACATCACAAGATCTCCTCCTCCTTTGATTAGTTTAGCAGATTAACAAAATGTCTTCTAACATCATTTCCCTACCACCTTTTTTTTTTTTTACAGTCAAGATTGAAGACTACAACTCTCATGATTTTGACAGTGCAAAAGAATTTGAGCTACCAATGTTCCACTTGCATTCAATAATCTCTGCAACCAAGAATTTCTCATTCCAAAATAAACTTGGAGAAGGAGGCTTTGGTCCTGTTTATCAGGTAATCGTAGCTCTAATCTTCAGCTTATTTCCTAAATTATTTTTATCTTGTACTAATTTACTCCACTGCGGTTTTTATATCACAAAATTTATTTGTGGGGGCCAAAGTCATTTATTAGAAGTCACAGTTGTTGACCATTAGGGTTCCCAATGGGTCAGGTAACAGTGATATTGAGGTAGGGCCTTCTTTTCTCCCGGCATTGCGCCTCAAAACGAAGCATCCAAAGAAGAATCAAACACCATGGGTCTTCGTTAAGGAGAATACGAGACCCTTTCTCCGCAGGATGAATATCCAACAATGGCCCCCTTAATTTACCTCTCTCGTTCTCTCTTCCTCTCGAAAACGTCGTGATTAACGTGGTTAACGATCTAGTTCGCATTTTTTCTCATCATGCGAATTTCTGGTGTATTTCATCTGCAAGCTCACTAAACCTAAAACCCAGCTTCCCTAAATCGAATTGCGCGACTGAACTTGTAGAAAATTTGAGATATGATCCTACATTCCATTTATTTCAGATGTCCTCAAGCTTACTCTCCATCCTGATGGTCTCTTTATCTTTGGACTGACCAAACATGGGGATCAAATCCACCACTGCGAGTGTAGGGCATCCTGAGCGACGGCCAAAGCATAGCTGCCAAGAGGTTGTCAACCAATTCTGGACAAGGGCTGGAGGAGTTCAAGAGTGAGATCAAGCTTCTCGCCAATCTTCAACACACCAACCTAGTGAAGCTTCTTGGTTGCTGCATCGATGGGGAGGAGAAGATATTGATATACGAGCACATGCCCAATCAGAGCTTGGACAAGTTCATCTTCCGTAAGTTCATCTTAGAACCGTTCTCGCATGCATCTCTCCTACCTGGGTTCCCTCCTCTCTCCTTGCGCTCACTTTATGTGGGTGGTGGCGATCACCGTCAGATCCGACGAAGAGAGGAGAGCTGGACTGGCCGAAGCGCGCCAACATAATTGAAGGCATAGCCCAGGGCCTCCTCTACTTGCACCGGTACTCGAGGGTGAGGGTCATCCACAGAGATCTCAAAGCGAGCAACATCCTCCTTGACGGCGAGTGGAACCCCAAGATATCTGATTTCGGCTTAGCGAGGATCTTCACCTGGAATGACGCCCCCGCGAACACCAAACACATCGTCGGCACGTAGTAAGTCAACTCCTGGTTATTCAGACATATCCTGGTTAAAGTTACGAGAAGGAAGACGGTGACCATTTAGCGTGAATCTGACTTCAGCGGTTACATTTCCCCGGAGTACGCCATGAAAGGCCACTTCTCGGTGAAGTCGGACGTCTTCAGCTACGGCATTCTAGTCCTTGAGATCCTCAGCGGCAAGAGGAACACCAGCACTCCCGACCTCGACGAGGCTCTCAATCTCTCGGGACACGTAAGTCGATTGGGCGACGTCGCCGCCGGGGAGTGAGGGTTGACCTTGACTTCCTCTTTCATGACTCACCGGTTTTGACTGGTTTCAGGCCTGGAAGCTCTGGAGGAGTGACAGCGTGGTGGAGCTGATGGACCCGGTGTTGGCGGGGACTTGCTCGGCCGTAGAGTTCTCGAGATGCGTCCACGTGGCATTGCTGTGCGTCCAGGAGAACCCCGCTGACCGGCCGACCATGCTCGACGTCGTTTCCATGCTGAACAATGAGAGCACGACCCTGTCGGCCCCCAATCGGCCGGCCTACTTGTTAGAGAGATTCGTCATGAGGGAGGATGGTCAACGGGTCGAGCGTAGGGTCAATTCTTCCACCAACGAGATAACGTACTCCGAAATGGGCGCCCGATGACATAGGCAGACCCCGTATCGCCGGCCATCCTTCCTGGCTATTGTTTCCCGGGCCCAAGCTGGACTTAACCTCCGAGACCAGCCAAAGGCCAGTCAACAATTCATTGGATGAGTAAGGATGGGAACGGGATTTAAGTACCAATTCATAATTGAATGGCTGATATTTGTGACAGGCGTTGACTTTGCCCAGAAAAGAATACGCTTCTTCTATGATGGCGGCGGACCGTAACCGGAAAACTCGTAGCGTAGCCGATTTTCCAAGAGATGGGGGCATTCAAGCACGTCCAACGCTTGCCCTTTTGGCCCGTTGTCAAATTTCTGACTTGTTCCACCCCATTGACGGGTGGTCAGGAAATGAAGCCCAAGCTGAGAGAGATAGCTGGTACTTTCCGAACAGCTTCCTCTCTCTCTCTCTCCTCTCTCTAGTCTCTCTCCTCCGTGTCCGTTCCCCGATGACGACCTGCCTACCCGCCCTGGGATTTGCTGACTCCAGCTGGTTCGTCTTCCTGGCGGCGGAGCTCTCGGCTCGGGATGCGGACCCCACCGTCGTCTTCGCTGGAGCCAAGAGGGGCCCCGTTGCCGCAAGCTGCCCCAGGAGAAAAGACCTCTCCCTCCACCAGCAGCTACCCGACAGCGGCCGGAGGAGACGAGGCGGCGCCGCCGGCGGAGAATCTTTATCTACAGTGCTCCGCCGCTGTCGGACTCCTTCCCCCGGTGGGCGACAGACGACTTCGTAGTCCTCCCTGTGACTGAGCCCGGCATGGCTACAGTGCTCTGTTTTCTTACTTTTTCAAAACCCACATATAAACCTTTTATTGTTTGAAAAGTTTTTATCGCGTAAAATTTGCCGAATTTCTAATTTTACGATTTCTAAACAAGAAGCCAGGCACTGCATACATAATTACATCAAGTAATAATTAAAGCGCGTAAAAAATTGTAGATGTAATTAATTTGATTTTCCGAAGAAAGCATGGAAGAAAAATTCAATAAGGGTCTCGAAATCGATATTCCCTACTGAGGGGGCGTGTCAATGGGTCAGTTTGGGCTTCGGGCATTCCAACTGAGTCCACTTGGAGAGAGAGAGAGAGAGAGAGAGAGAGAGAGAGAGAGCTTATATTCTTGGATTTAGGCGGGGATTTTGTATTTCTGTGTTGAATTTTGAGCGCCCGAATGAACGTGGCTTAACGAAATTTCTCCTGAATCACGCACACCTATTTTCCCTTCAGATTTGTATAGCCCTCACGATCCTCCCCGGAACGCGGGCGCATCTGTTTGTCCACTTTAGAGAGAGAGAGAGAGAGAGCTGATGGGTATCTGAAATTTCCGGCGGACTGGTCCAGTACGACAGTGCCTAACTCCTCTCTCGTTATCTCTATCTCTACCACAGTGCTTTCCTCTTGCTCTCTCTCTCTCCTCACGGATTGAGTTCAGGCACGTCTTTACAAATCAGAGAAGTACGACCGCTTTTTACAGGCCCCATAACTTGCCGCAGCTCACACTCCTCTAGATATAGTGAGAGACGCGGACACAGAGGTGCACAGAAGCCACAGTATTTCTTAAACTATTTTCTTGCTCATGGCTTCCCATGAAGCCACCTTCGTTTACTGACCGACCATTATGACCTGACCCGTGACACTCTATTCTTAGAGAGAGAGAGAGAGAGGGGACGATTAAGGCTCATTTCAAATCTTCCGCGACCATTATGACCTGACCCGTGACACTCTATTCTTAGAGAGAGAGAGAGAGGGGACGATTAAAGCTCATTTCAAATCTTCCGCGACCATTATGACCTGACCCGTGACACTCTATTCTTGGGACTATTCACTCTTCCATTTAAGAAGACAGTACGTCATCCTATCTCTCTCACTATCTCTTCTGTATCTCTCACGAGGGAAGACGGACTCAGGACTAAATTCAGAGTACGAAACCATGTAGAGAAGCCTTCTTGCATCGTCCTCTAGAGAGTGAGCGAGAGAGAGAGAAGATGACCTGGGTGGAGAGAGAGAGGTGCAAGATATCTAAAGAGGGCTTAGAGTCTCCAGAGGGAGGCTTCCTCACGGTTACCCCCGTCTTGAAGCTTCTTCCAGTCAGCGGCGGCGCAATACTGCCGCCACGCACCCTCCGCTGGTCCCCCGCGGCCACCGAATGAGCCAACACGGCGTTTGGAGGGAGTCCATGGTCAACGGAAGGCGGTGGGCCAGTCGGTAGAAGCATCCCCTGGGATTTCTACTAGGAATTCTCCACGCAAGCAGTTCGTCCGAGGGATATTAAATCATAAGTCTTGGAGACTCGCGCTGGTAATTTGCGGCACCTGCAGGGGTACTGGCTGAATTTCGCCCGTCAGGTGAATGGTCAGCCCTGGCGTTGCCAGTGGAGCTAGTTCCCCTCGGAAGCGACGCGGTTATTCTGCCGACCGTGTACGACGTCTCTCGGTGGCAGATTGCCCTCGCCCGGTTTCTTCGAAAGTAACCTCTCTCTCTCTCTCGCTCTAGGTTATGTTCCTATAATTTTCCGAGAACCATGTTTGACAGCTCAGGTGTAGGCTGTCGTCCGCGGCGGAGCTGCGGTCTTCCTTCCTGGATCCCCTCCCTCGCCCTACTTAAGAGAGTCGCAGGTTCCTCCCAATCCGTAAATCCTCTCTCTCTCTCTCTCTCTCTCTATAGGGCTCCGCCTAAGGTTCTGTCCGTCTGTAGCAGCACGCAGATTTCCTAATGGCAGGTGGCGAACCTGTAGATGGGTGGATGGGGGGGAGCGAGTTTGAGGACTACCTGCCGGTGATGGCGGAGAAGCTGGGCGCAGAGGGGCTACTGGAAGAGCTGTGCAACGGCTTCCGGCTGCTGGCCGATCCACGGCGGGGGCTAATCACCTTCGCGAGCCTGAAGCAGAACGCGACGGCCCTGGGGTTGGAGGGTCTCTCCGACGGGGAGCTGATGGGCATGCTCCAGGAGGGGGACATGAACGGCGACGACGCCCTTGACGAGCTGGAGTTCTGCGTCCTCATGTTCCGGCTCAGCCCTGACCTCATGGCCGAGTCGCACCGGGTCGTCGACGAGGTTCTCCACCACGAGCTCATGAACGAGTCCGTATTCTTCTCCTGATCCCCCCCCCCCTTTCCAGCTCTCTCTCTCTCTCTCCCAACCCCCCCCATGTCTCTTCTCTTTCCTGAGACAGACCCGGAGAACCTGTGTATTTTCCCCAAGAGATTACCAGAATGGTACTACCCCTTGACAGAAAAACTGTGATCGTTGCTCCGACGATCTTCCTCTCCGCGGAAGAGATCAGCTTCGTAGATAGTCAGAGAGAGAGAGTCGGCTGCGTTTTCCTCTGTCCTCATTTAAACTAATAGATTCCCTCCGCCATTAGTGCTTAATGGTACATGTTCCATCGTTTATGGAGTCCTTGGAAACAGTATTGCTGAAAGACGGGCATATAGTACAAAAACTCATCGTTTAGTGGATATAATACAATAACTCATACTTATTTTTTATATGGATCAATATGAGACTACTACGATGCCTAACGGTTCACCATCTTCTTCTCCCAAGACTTGGTGGTATTGCCTCATCTTCCAATGGATATGAGGATGGACCTTTCATCAGTCGAGGTTTAAACCTATGGTAGAGGTAATTTATTTGTAAAAAATAGAGGTACTTCATCCATATTGCATTTTAGGGTTGTCATCAATGGTCTAATATCATCCCTTATTCTTTAATGTCTATCTCATCTTAAATAGTATGACCTTGCCCCTAACTCAAATGCGACAAAAGGCACACATATTTCTTTACATGTCACACATTTTTAATAAATATGCCATTGGGAAATAAAGTTGTGCCGATAATCATCAAGATGTAATCAGCAACTATTGACACATATGTAAGGACAAGTAATGCTCCAAGTGTCCAATCAGTGTAAAAAATAAGTAGGGTACCTTACATGTGAGTTGACAGCAACTGTCCGGTCTCACTCGTTGAGTTCCACCTCTTTCTTTCTCTTTGCAATCCAATTGAATTCTTGCCTGCACGGTTTCATCACTGTTCCAAGCAGCACAGATCCCCGCAGCTATCTCTTTCGCCAACCTCCTCGGTGGCCCATCCCGCCCTTCAGCCCCCACTATTGACCAATGTTGGGAATCCAGCACCTCGGCCATGATCAGGCTAGGATTCATAAGGTTTTAGTTATGAGGCTGTTTTTCGGCCTTTGTATAAATTCTAGTTATCTTTGGGCATTTAACCATACTGGAAAATAAAATGCCCCGCCCCGTATAATCATAACCCTAAGTGGGCATGAAGACCGGAATCCGTTACTACGCTGGGCGAAGTCAGGTGATCGCAATCCACACACGCCCAGGAGCCGTCTGCCCTCTGGATATGCGTCTGCGTCCTCGGTTGAACTTTTGTTCGTCCATGTTTATTTTATTCAACATATTGAACTGTATTGCGTCGCCTTAATGGGGCCACGCTGACTGTTGACCATTCGTGCTCTCTGAGGACAGACGTTCATCGCGGGGTCCAGCGCTGGGTCGTGTCATCGAGCACGGCCACGTAGCTGCCTGTACCAGAGGCAGTGCCCGGCTGAGCACCTGGGCTTGTATTCGGCGATGGGCACGTCGACGAAGCCCACGCGAGATGGCCCGTTTGGGACGATCTCTCCACGATTTTCTTGACGTGAGTACGTGGAGAACCTACGCTAAGTGATTGGAGAAGCATCATCCTGCTGGATATGCCTCGTTATTTCCTTTCTCTAAGCTTGTTCTCTCTCTCTCTCTCTGTCTGCCCTTGTGGGATCAGCTCCATGTCTTTATCCTGCCTTAACCGTTTCCACCGTTGTGCTTACTCTTGTGAAAATCAATCTCGTCGATTAAGATGGAGAATAGATTAACACCGACCTCTTGCTTGTAGACTCCTGCTTACTCATGTAATGTGGGAATTCAATATCGGCAATTAAGATGAAAACAGAATAACACCGACCTCCTCTTGCATGGACCGAGAGTCATATAACCAGTTGAGTTTATTGTATCTTGGGTACGGAGCACCAGATCTATTGCACAATGTCCCAACTGATGTACTTCAATGAGAAACTTGGTTTTTAATCTCATCTCTAGTTTCAGCATAAATAAAACGATAATGTCTTATCTTCATTGCAATTCATCTTTAATAAAATCTTCTTTTATCGTCCCTTGATGAATTCCTCATTGTGGGCTCAGCGTGTTAAATGTGACGTCTTTTAAGATTATTGAATTTAATGTAATGGACAGCCATTTTTGAGAGGGAGAAACTATCTATTAGTGGGCCGATTCTCACGAATAGAAACAGCCCAATAAATGGGCAGAAAAGAATGGATAAGAAGAATGTGGAGACGGCCAAAAGAGTGGCCTGAGCATTTTTTTGTGAAAACAACTCATATCCACAAAAATCAAGGGCACATTCTAAGAAGAGGAATGGCCCATTGATGGACATATAGGGTCATTATTAATAGTAGTCTTCAAACTAAAGGAGTCCTCTCCCACTCTAAGAGTTACCAGAGATGTTCCAAGGTGAATATCTCAAGTTGAGTTCTGAAGTCTTGCGACCAAATAGTGAACATTTGTTACTAGGCTTTTGGCAAGAGTTAATTATTTTATCCTTGTTCTACATGTTGTTCCAATTTTAGAAGTAACACTTTGTTAGTCTAAGTGGACTAGTACTCCTAAGAATTACAATCAAAGTTTGGTTAGTCCTTTGGTCCAGGCTCATTATCAGTGATAGTCAAGTCAACATCGGCAATAAAGCTTGACATTAAATTGTTCGATAAAAAGGCAAAATATTTTGACTTCTATCAACTAAAGCTGTATTTTTTATTGCTATAAGAAAAGTTGTGAAAGATAATTAAAGGTAAAAAAGTTCTATTGGTAAGTGGAAGGATGAAGAAAAAAGAATAATACTAAGAGTGTGATTTACTACATTTCATATAAACTAAGTAGATGATATGCCGCAAGGAGTTACAACTAAAGACACTCCATCTAAACTTTTATTCGATCTTGAGTCAAACTTATGATAAAATCTTTTTACAAATTAGCTAAAAAAACCTTAAAACAACAGTTATATATTATAGGCATGAAAGAAGATATGCTTCTTGTTGATCATCTTAATGAATTTAAGACCATTTTTATTGATCTAGATTTTAACATGTGTTAAATTTTATGATGAATATCAGACCCTCACACTCCTATATTCTTTACCTATTTTATATGTGTTTTTAGATACTTTGTTATATAAAAATGATGATATTTTATTAGAAGATGGCAAGATTTCCCTAAACTCTAGGGAGTTGAAAGGAGGATATTAGATATTTATAGCAAAGATTAGGCAGAGAGCCTAATGATTAAAAGGAGAATAGAGAAAAAAAGACTATAAGCAGGTAGGTCAAGATCAAAATCTAAATCAACAACAAAATATAAATGTTATGAATGTAATTATATAAAAATTATCTAAAATTACATAAAAAGAAATGTTTAAGATAAGATTTATTCTAACAAAACAAATGTTTCAAGAAAAAACTATGGATGACAAGACTATTTTTTTGGTTTCTACTAGTACATTAAGAGATACCTTGTGTTTTTATTTTAGTTGTACTTCTCACATATGGTCTTATAGAGAATGCTTTCTTACTTACATACCTGGTAACTAGTGGTATCATTACATTCGGATTTAATAAAAAATATTTAATATTATTGCAGTTGGTACAATTAGAATAAAGATGTTTGATGATATCATTAGAGCATTAAAAATGTGATACATTCCAAGACTAAAGACGAGTCTAGTCTCTGTAATACTTTTTTGAAAGATATTAATATTTTTAGACAACTAAAGACAAGACTTAGACAACTATAGATATTACTTTTTGAAAGATATTAATTTTTTTAGACTTTCTAGAAATGTATTGATTGTAACAACGAAAAGTTGACTAGTAGAATTCATAATCTACAACATAAGATTATGATGACCAATATCAATCTATCATGAAAAATAATCCTATTGTATTCTGGGACATGTAACTGAACAATAAAAATGTTTGACGGAGTTAAGGTGAAATTTAGTATTTCAATATTTAAATACTAAAGGTACTATTGATTAGATTTACTCTAACCTTTGGAATTACTTTGAAGGGTTGTGCAAATTATGCTTTGACCTTTATTAGTAACTTTTCAAGAAAGATCTAGTTATATTTTCTGAAAACAAGAATGATGTATTCATCTCTTTCAATTAGTGGAAGATGTTGATCAAATAATAGATTGTCAAAGAAATGAAGTTGCTAGATTAAAAATGGTATTAAATTTCTTTTGTTAGACTTTGTTGAGTTCCAAATTAATAAAGACATCATTTGACAATGCATTATGGTAGGAACAATGTTTTGAAGAAAAAACAAACATTTGGATAGAGCAACATCTATGATATCTCATTAAGGTTTATCAAATGTTTTTCTGCCAAAAACTCTCAAAATATCTTTATTTTAGTATGTAGCAAATAGATCTTTATTTCCAATCACCAAGTTGAAAATTCCCAAAGATATATGTTCTGGTTCTTCTTTTGATTCTTTTCACCTTAAAATTTTGGATTATATTATCTATATTCATGTCGTAAGTGACAAGTTGGGGCTAGTGAGAAATAAGTATATTTTCATCAGATATCATTTGTGGTGTATTGATCCTCAATTACCAAAGATTAGGATTAAGAGATATGGTCCTTTCAATCATTATGTGATATTTTAATTAGAGAGCATTCAATAATAAGAAATAGAGATCATGCTAATAATAAGGAGAACTAGAAGTTAATAGATAATAGAATAAAAAAATAAAGTGTAATATGATAAAATAATCATTCAAAAACTAGTACAATGTACTTAAAAGTGTTCTAGTATTGTAATTGATAGATAGGAAAGATTGATCAAACCATATAACATGTGTTCTGATGTAGTAGTTTGTGTTTTATCTATTTCAGATGACACTAATGGGACCAAACCTATGAATAATTTTTGATGAGTCATCCAAGTAATAATTAGTCATATAAGAGTAGAATGAAGCCTCTACAAAAGAATGACATGTGGAATTTAATATAAATTC